CCATTCTCTAGTGAGGAATGAAAAATCCAGGAGGCTTCTCCTTATGAAGTGAAATTTTTCAGAAATCATTTAAAATTCTCCTAAAATATAGAGTTTCATCATGTCAGCTAGGACCCAATACTTTAGGCATTGTAGGAGAACACAAGAATTGCAGTTACACTAAAGTCAATAATTTATTGAAAAATCACTCAGTGTAATCCAAGGTTCTCTGTAGTCTGCATTTGTTACTGGGCCTCCTCTCTGGAGGAGGCACGGCCGTGGGATGAGGAGACACTGTGAGAGCAAGACAGGAAGTGAAGGACTGCTAGGAAGGAACATTCACTTGCTCAGCCCTGCAGGAGCACTGCATTCCTCCATCACGAAAGGCAAAGCATGAATTTGGATACTGTGAATCTTGATAGGAAATAGAGACAGGCCAATCATGATCTCCTGTTCTCAGCTGTGAGGGGAGATCTCTCCATATACTATGGCAATGCCCTTCCCTGATCGCACAGGGCCAGTGCTGTCCTCTGTTGATGAGGCAGGGCTGGGTGAGAGCTCAAGATGCTCTGTGTCTGTTTTCCTGTAACTCGAAATCTGTAACCTACTTCAAAGACATAACTTGGATGGGACTGCATAGGAAGATTTTTTGGACACTGTCATATTAAAAAGTCACGCATGTAGGTTCAGTTTACAATACCTAAACCACTTTGTACTCAGGATAGGAGTAAGCTCATGGCCCAGGTGCACAGTTAGAGCAGAGAGATAAGATTTAAAACCTGAAGCTGACTCCAAATTATAGAGACTAGACCAGCTACAAAAAAATCTGCCCTTGGAAACAAGCCCTTTGTTTTAAGGTCAGGTCCCGCCTCCAGCTGTGTTAGTCTTTAAATTTGTGAGGGAAGAGAGGAGGGGAGTGAGGGAGGGAAGGAATGAAAAGAAAATGTCCACAGAACAAATAGAAGCCCACTGTGAGCAGAAGTGTCTAAAAGACATGGAGGAAATGTAATGGAAGTCCTAACATTTGTGACATCTTCGCTGAACATTTCTGGTGCCAAGAGAAAACCTCTAAGCATAAACCCATCCCAGACCCAACAACAGGTCTAAGTCACCAGCACTCTCTGAGCACAGAAATCTCAAACCAGAAGCAAGAAACACCTGCTCTAGGCAGAGGGAGACATAAAGTGTACTTGGATGTAGCTCAAAGAGAGGCTTTTGGGTCCTAAATAGCACATTATTTGCTCCCTCCCCCAAGGGATGCTCTCAGAAGCCCCTTTCGTCCTCACTCACCTCTTCTCTGCCTGATGGAATAAGCAACATGAGAGTCAGGGTCTGTGGCTCTTAGGAGTAAATGCTGCCCTGCCCTCCCTATGCCTGGCAAACTGTCTTTTTGGTGGGGAACTATCTGCTCTCAGTAACACTCTGGGTGTTGCTGGCCTGAGTGGATGGCTCCCTGTGCCATCTGGGGTGCCTGTCCATATCTCATCTAGCCTGCTGGGATGGATCTGTGTCCATCAAGTGTCTCACTAGACTGTGGGGGCCTTGCCCAGACCCTGCTGGCCAGTACTTCATGAATAAACCAGTGAATTCACAGTAGGCAAAGCTTGGGAAGGAAGTCAAAGTGTGGATGTTCTATAGGAGCACTAGAAGAAAAGGGTATATCACATTATCAACCAGTAAAGCCAGTGGCTATGGTCTTGGAACCATCCACTTTTAAATAATGCAAAATCCAGAGAGCACAGTGTCAAAAAGGAACGCAGAGGCTGGATTGGATGTTCCCAGATTTTGTCTTCTCCCAAAGCCCTCTGAGTCCCCAGCTGCAGAAGACAAGGGAGATCAGTCCCCAGTGTTAGGGTCCATGCACGTTCACACTCCCTGGCTGCTGGTGAGTGCAATGCATCTGTCTGTCCAGGGCTCACTTCCAGATTGGAGAGCTGAGTCCTGAGTTCCCCATACGCAACGTGGTGGGTGACTGTTGGGCCGGTGCCAGTCCATGGTGGCCTATGGTTGTGTCGCAGAATCAGCCCTCTTCATTTCCGCTCATTGGTGGGTTTATAGGAGAATCTCAGTGTGATTTGAATTTGCATATATTAACAATTTTAGGTACCTTCTCCTCCCTTCACTGGTTATTAGGATTTCCTCCTTTAGAAAATGTTACCTGTCCAAGAGTTGTGACCTTTTCTTTGCTTTATTATCTCATTTTTGTTATTGATTTCTAGGAATTTAGGTATTTTGTATTAATGTATTGCAATCCATAATTGTGCAGTGAAGAACTCTATTCCCTTTTAAGGGTCTTCTTGGGAAAACTGAGAAGGTGAAGGGATTTGAGAGCTGGGGCCTCCTCTGTCTCCAGAGCCTGACCGATAAATGGGGTCTTCCCAAACCCCATGTGGCTCACCTCAAAATGTGTGTTTCTAATACACACACACACACACACACACACACACACCCTGACAGTTGCTATCTATTGCTCATTTTTAACCTAATCTTCTGATTTTCACATTTTATGGTTTACTTATATGATAAGCTTGGTGTGACCTTGAGAACAAAAGATATTTACTGAGTAATGAAGTTTACCCAGCTTTAACATATTCCTGCCAGCTTGAACCACCAGTGTTACATGCATGACTGCCCATCTGGCAGCCTGCTCCACTGCATGAGACTGTCCCATGCCACCCAATGGGACAGTTACGCATGCAGCACCAGTGATTCAAAGCTGCCCAGCAACAAGACATAAGAATTACAGCCCCGCAGTGAATGCATTAATGAGCTTGATGAAAATGATCCCCATTTTCCAGATGGTAGATAATGCATATTAGCCCTACTGTGTGTCAGCTGATTGCTCAGTGTGGGGCTGAGATATGTCCAGAGTGGGCTCCCTGGTGTTTGTGTGACCCCATTATTCATCATAATCTCATGCAAATTGACATCCTACAACTGCTTTTCTGCCTTATTTTGGAGGGCAAGATCAATATGTGGGAAGAAGTTGAATTACACAATGCAGAAATCGACTATAAAGTCTTGATGTGCATGTGAAGGAAGGTAGGTAGACTGGCCCCTCCCGGTGATCTCCCTAGAATTGCAAACTCCTCTCCACAACTATATAGTTTCCAGAAGGGTTAGTGCCATGTTTTCTCGCCCACATGCTCACAGAACACGGGAATGGTACACAGCAGGAATTAAAGAGCTCCCTTGTAGATCTGTGTAAGTCACAGAGCATATTGGCAGTGCCAACCAGCTGTGTGTGTGAGAACTAGCACCTGCCTCAGGCATACAAGCCTGCAGGAGAACCTTTCCAATTACACTGCCTTTTCACCTGAGCCACTTTGCAGTTCCCATACACTGAATACCAGACATCGAAGCAAAAAGACAATACTTTCTCTTTTCTAATCCATCTTTTGGACCAAAAAATCAGTGTGAACAGTGAAAATGGAGCATCTCCAGGCAGTCAGATGTTACTGACCCCAGGGTAGAAAATAAATGTGAGTGAACAGCCCAGTGATTTGATTACAGAAACAGCATCATTTGGCTGTTGTACAAAATTCAACCAAGTTTGCAATGGTTTTCTAAGAAAGGCCTTTCATGCACTACTTAGTTTTTCAGACAGTATCACTAAGGATCACAGGAGTAGTGACTCTGGCCACTTTCTCCTTTGTGAACTCACGAGCCTGCCCCAGAAGCCTCCTGTCAATGGTGCCTATGCACATGAAGGAAATAGCAGGTGAAAAGGCCTTTCCAAGCAGGGACTGAGACAGGGGACAAACCCAGTAGTCCTAACTTTTTTCTTTCTTTCATGTCCTCCATGAGTTTGGAAAAGAACTATTAAATCTAAATGTTAGCTGACTGAGCATATTTTTTTCAACACTTTTTAAAAAGAACTTGGATGGCAAAAGAGTTTTGAAAAAGTGGATGTATTTTAATTCCACAGAATGCACACCACATGTCTGTTAAACGATGAACAGTCGCTTTGGAACCCAAGGTTTGTGTTACTGCTAATTACGGGTGTCATCCTGCTCATGAGGCCCTCTGTGGTTGTGAGTCCTAACCGGTGCCCTGGCTCCCAGGCTGCTTGCAGGTGTCCATATAAGGAGCAGATTGCCCATTAGAAAAGGCCCTTGCCCTAAACAGTCTAAACTATTGAACCCTAAATGCATGTTTCAATTCTTTATATGAATAATTGGGGGCAATGTTTTGTACTTTATTTCATTATATGATAGTCTTGCCTGTTTTCATGTATATAATCTAGAAATTTTGGTAGCTGGATCGTGATATTTCTTCACAGGTCTGATAGGTCCTCCCAGCAAAGGAATCAAGCCCAGACTGCAGAGACTGCAGATCATTTTCCAATAAAAAGGATCAGAATCATTTATAGCCCTTTTGGTAGAATATTAATGGAAAAAGACCATTTTATAGATTATTATCCTGCCAGTTTTATTATTTTTCACTACATCAAGCCCTGTTATGAGTAATAACATAACATAAATAAACCCTCTGGAAACTGACCTGTGAAGAATGATCCACTTTCTCTTTGAAAAAATATATATACAAAACCAGAAAATTTCACTTTTTTGGCCAAAACAAACATTGGGTCATTTCCATTGGTGACCATAGTCTTTGTGATTATTTTTAAAAATTAGAGATTCCTGACTCATAACTTTCCGTGATTCAAACTGTCCTCCTTTAATGACTTCTCCCCTGCCCTATGCGCACATAGGTATATATATGTGTGTATATGTATACATGTATGTATGCATGTATGCATGTATATTTTATTTGTTTTGGTTTAATGAGTTCTTCTCTATTTTATGCATGCATATATAATAAACACATATCCTTGCTTTTCTCCCTTAGAAACAGCTTTTAATACCACTTTGGGCTTTCTCTATTGACTCTGTCTCATTCCCAGGATTACTCGGTTCCATTCAAACTGAGTTCCCTTTAGAATTATGAGCAAACATAGGTAAGATCATGTCCAAAAACAACAAAGCAGTCTCTGCAGAGCCAAGTCTGGTCTGACCTACCTGGGCAGCGGGGAGTCTTGTGGGCTACCGCGGTGCCGCTCACTGGCCTTCCGCTGGGCGTGACACACCAGCAGTACCCCGTGTAGCTGTGACATTGCACCTGTGGAGAGAGAACACGGTGAGCTCCCTGGACACACACCCATGTGGTGGCACTTCACAGAGGCCTGGAACCAGAGCCTCTCTGGGGCCTGTGGGTGCCGAGGAAGGCTGTGCTGCCTTTCATCATATCCCTGGGGAGAAGGGGCAACATGTGCTGTCAGAGCCTGACTGACCACCACTGCCTCCAGATAGAGCCTGGCCCTCATCTCACGCACAAGGACAAGGACGCTGAGGCCTGCAGGAACCCACAGACTCACTCTGTGATGCTCATCAGCCCCTGGCAGAGTCCAGGAGCAGAGACAGGCCTCTAGTGGCCAGCGGGGTGTCCTTCCACGGCACCCTTCCTGTGGTCTCTGGGCCCTCCTGAGATAACCTCAGCAGAGGGCTTCCCTTGGCTCCCCAGCACTGCTCCTCTCCTTTCTCATCTCTCAAAGGCCAAGCGATTACAGCAAGAGACTGAAGCCCACACTGTCACCTCCCTGATGGGGATCACGCTTGTCGTTCCACCCAAACCACACAAACACTGCATGTTCAGGATAACCCCATAAGGAACAGCAGTACCGCCACTCCCCTAACAGGACTTGGGTTGTTCCCAACATTCCCTTTGACTAACAGCTTGACCACAGGCACAGCATAGCCTGGTTTGGCCAGCTCCCAACCCTAATCCCAACAGGCTGGGCCAAACCAGGGCCTCATGCTACACTGATGCTATGGCTCTTGGCACAAGCTCCCCACAATGGAAATTAAACCAAAATTAAATTCTTAGCACCGATCCAATTGGCATGGTCTGGTGAGCCTCCTAAGCATCCTGCCCTGTGCAAGTTCACAGATGTTTCCACCAACGGAGGCACAGAGGTGCTCACTAACACATCTACTTCATTGGAACCTCACTTTTCCCTAGGGTGGACCACTTCCCCCTCATTCACTGTACAGGGGTCCCACAGTCACCTGGCTGTAGGTACCATCCTCGTTGCACTCTGGGATGAACACCTGCTGCAGCTCCTTCCGGGCCTGCTCCTGGGTGTACTTCCTCTCAGCCACACACCTGGACACATCTACAGGGAGAATGGGGAAGGAGGTTATGCAATGAGGGTCAAAGACAAAGGACCACCCAGGTTGGCAGGAGCTCCTCAGCAGGCCTAGTGCCCGCCACCCCACGTGGAGGCAGAAGAGCAGATGGCTCTCTGGACAAGAGCAGGAGGGAGATGGAAGCTCAGAGAAGCTTTCCAGGGTGTCTGTGGGAAGCAACTGGACCCTGCTCCTGGGAAGGAGGGCCACACTCACAGGGTGCTCTATAACAGGCCGGGACTTTGCCCAGATGTAACAGGGTAGGTCCAGGGACAGAGATAAATTCAGTGCATATGGAACTGACCAGGAAGGGATGAGGGGACACCTCATGGGGTAGGGGCCTTTCACCCCAGTCACAGCCTTGGAATGGAAAACATAAACCTTCTCTTTGTTCTGTACCTTAGTTCCCAAAATCCCAAAGTCCATATGAAGCTCACACCTCTTCCAACTTCACTTGGAAAACCTGATAATCAAGTGGATAAAAGGGGCTACTACCCTTAGTAGGACTCCCACTCTGCCCCAATGGCCATGTGTGCAGGTTAGCTCACTGCATCATGGTGGTATAATTTTGCAGGGTAGGATGCTGTCATGCTACGCAGGAAATCACAAGAGTCAGTGATGCCAAGAGTGCAGCTGCCTCCCATCTGTGTGATCAGAACTGGACTCAGGCCACATCTGACACCCAAGAGTCACAGGTGCGTAGCCCACTGACCCAGCAAGGGTGCAAGGTGGGGTATGACGTGACCCAATGCTGAGCTCTCTGCTGTCAGGAGGATCCATTCACTGCTCCTTGCCTCCCTCCAGAGTACATCAAGGTGCAACACAGCTCCTTTGAGTTTTAGAACTTGACAGGAGCAGCTGTCCCCATGTTCTTTGTGCTTCCTCATCCAGCTGACCAGTGTTCAGGTCTCTGAGAGATGCCTCTACACATGTCACCTATGCTCATCTTCAGACGGCAACACCTCACTGCCTGGTGATTAAAATCAGCTGGTGAGGAGGAAATGCCACCCTGGGCCCCTGCTAGGCTCAGCAGCTCTGTGTTACTCCTGCCATTGGTCAAGAGACCCCTAGCTTCATCCAGAGTCACCCAGGGCTCTAATGGCACCAGAGTCACCAGCTTCTATGCGGCTCAGGGCTTGCGTCCATCCTGACTCAGGCGGGCAGCCAGCACTCAGCAGCGCTCAGTGGTTTTGATGCAGTCTGTGTTCACTTAGAAGTCAGTGCTGTGCTGAGCTTGCCCCGTTTCTAAGTCCACCCTGTGGTTTGACTGTCCAAAAGGAAAAGTGATCTGAGCTGCAGCTTGCAAGGTCTCAACCCGGGGAGAGACAGAGCCATAAATTATTCTTCATATTTGAACTATCATAGAACATGCCAAAAAAGCATAAATTTTCCAAACAACTTGTGGGCTCCATTCCTGGCTCAGACTTCTTTTAAAGACTTCACATTTGCCACTGGTTAGATGGTTCTCAAACCTGCAGCTCCTGTGTTTAACAGGATATTAAATTCCAAGTTCACCTCCACTGTATTGCTGACTAGTCATAGGAGAAATGAAGACGGCACCACAAAATTCTGGGGTCTGTGGAAATCACCCCTCATAACAAGTCTGTCGTTACCTCGTGAGCAACCCGGGTTAGCTCAGGCCACCTCTGTGCCATTTCCCACTGCGGATATTTGGTGTTAAATCTGCACAAGGGCCTCACTGCTAACAGGTCTGGGCAAGAGCCACCAGATGAGCAGACTGAGAAGCACTAACCAGGACAAATCCCCACTGAAAACCCTCAATGTCTCTGCTGGGTTCTTAATCTCACTTTAAATAATGAGGTGTGTAACATACACACACCTTGGACTAAAGGAATCCAAGTAGTATACACAGCCTCAACATTATTTTTCTAAACCTTCTAATTTCTCAGTCACATTTTAAGAAATAGAGCAGAAATGTTCAATGTTCTCTTCTTGAATATTTATAGGTGATACACTCATATTATTACATTTTCACTCTTTGTGCTTATTGTATTAAATTAAAAATTAAGCAGATCCCCTGTGTTCAGGAACTTCTGAGGATTTTATTCTGGACACTTTCTTCCTCATTGTTTGCTCTGAAATCCTCAGAACATAAACAAAATAATGTTTATTATGGTATAACTCCATAGAACATGAAATCTAACATTTTAAGCATTTTGACATGTGCCATTCATGGCATTCAGTATACTCTCAGCACTGTGCGACATCACTGCTGTCACCATATGTCTTCTCCAGGACATCCCATCACTGTAAAAGAAGCCGCATGTCCAGCAAGGAGCCACCTCGTACTGGCCCCAACTCCTAGAATGATGTCTCCACTTTCTGAACTATGGACTTGCCATTCTGGACATTTTATATCCATAGAGTCACACAATGGCCTTTGTGTCTGGCTTCCTTCAAACCAGAAGAATTCTCAGGCTGGTCTGACCTAGCTCTTTGCTCTGGAGACAAGAGGCAGGGTAGACCGTTCACCTCAGAGAGGCTGCTATCACACTGTGGCTCTGCGTCCTCAAGCCAATGTTCTCTGTGACAACAATGACACTGTGGTCAGAGTGAATGCTGCTTCCATGTCCCTGAGGGTTTGCCTAGAGAAAGAGCAGGGTCCTGATCCTAATGGTTATGCCAAGAACAGTCCTTTCCCTCCCCCTGAGGCCACAGGAGCCTGGCAGTGGTCAGGGTGGGCACCCTGCCTTGCGGTCTTTCCTGCACCAAGAGCTCACTTGCCGACAGAGACTGCCAGGGCACTTGAGCATCGCAGCACCGTCACAGTGCCAAGGGGCAGTGCACTGCCAAGGACAGTGACTGGGACCAGGAAGCGTTCTATATCTGAGCCCACACTGAGGGGTCCAAGGCAGAGCTCTTGGTCTCAGGAATCTCCAAGGAAGTAGCTTTTGTTATGATTTTTGCTCCCAGAAATCTCAAAATAGTCCAAGTTCCCCTGGCACATAACTTTTTTTCTGGCTCTTTTAGTCAATGCCAGAGGTTTTGTTTAAAAGAAAGGCAAGCCCACTATTCTCAGATCAAAAGAAAAAATATTAATGTGTTTGCTGAGTTCAGAAAACACAAACTCCACAAATTTCTATAAAAATATGAGAAAAATCCATCAGTTTAAACCACTGCAATTCTCTTCAAGGTCAATGGTTAGCTCATAATATGAAATGTATGAAACATTTTAATCTTATTTAATTAAATATGGACTAAAATATTTTAATTCTTATTTCCAAACCAGTACATCTAAAAGACACATGCCCACAGAACTGTCACCCGCCAAATATGTGGAAATGCCCTGAAAATGCTGAAGTCAGCAGTAGCAGCCTATCTGCCAAAGGAACGCTCAGTATGCTGCCAACTTCGGCACCAGGAATAGGTGAAGAAAGAGCAAGTGGAACTTGTGTCACTTATAGGGAGGTAGAAGACACTTAATTCTTGCCTCTTGTAACTGCAATAAGGCAAGTTCCTACCTGGGTCATCTGTAGAATCTGTGGTACAACCCCCGCTTCCAGTTGGGCCAGGCACCTGGGTTTCATCTACAAGCCAGTGTCACCCCCATTTCCATCTTGCCCAAGCTGGGTAGTGGACATTAAGTACTGGGCTTCAGGGGTCTGGCTGGAAACACCTGACAGTGTACCCAGCCTGTGTGAAGGAGCCCACCCCAAAGTAAGACCTTCTTCCCATCATGAGCCAGAATGCAGGCCAAGGAGACCCCAGAGTAGGACAGAAGCCCTCTCCAGGTGGGGGAAAGGTTGACTCGGCACAGGCACAGATGAGAGCTGAAACAGACCCTCTCAAAGCCAGCTGTGCACCCCAAATCTAGAGCCTCAGAGGTATGTGATCCCTGCTGTGTTTGGAAGGCAAAGCTTGTCTAACATTTTGTCTGTAGACCAGGTTGCCCTTGCTGCCCTGGGTTAAATGGAACTCTGAATCTTCGGGTATCTCTGCTGTGTTCTTTTTATAATCCTTCTGACTTAAGTCAAACCTACTTTGGGGACTAAATCTCATGTTTACCTACTTCTGCCCTATATTATTTTGGGGGGGTCACAAGTTTATGGTACATCTCCAGTGAAGTGAATACAATTCTAACCAAGGAAATTTTCCGGAGAAACTAGGCTAGATAAAAATGCGAGTAAAGTAACAAAGACACTACTGCAAAGTACAACAGTGTTTAATTCACCCCCCTCCCCCATCAAAAAGGTATCCATAACTGGGCCAAGATCTGGAGCCCAAGCCAGAGGTATAGAGGAACCACCTCCAAAATTGGACAAAAGAGGCTGGTGTGAGACTTCCCCTCCAGAGCCAGGAGACCCCTGGGTTTTCTCCAATAATCCCTGGACTCCATCTTCAAAGTCTGAGGCATCCATTGTCTCCTGTCCACAACTTCCTACAGCTGCCATTTCCCACAAGGCAGAAACAGGCTGCAGAAGCTCACACCCTAGCCTTCTACAGTCCGGGCCTCCTTCTCTCCCAGCCCCACCCATTGCTCCTTGGAGGACCTCAGAAGGGGTTCCACCTGGGATCTTCTCAACTCTCTCAGCATACAAGAATCACACCTTCCTGTGGTGAGGTTTTAGAAAGGGCAGCCATGTAAGCAATAACACTCCACCTACCATCCTCTCCTACACCCTCTGGTATGGAACAGTCTTCCTGGGGCTCCCTCAGGCCATCCTGTAGACTTAAGTGCTGTGTGCCCTAAAAGACTTGACTTTGAACAAACCATGGTAGCAGAAAGAATCCTTCATAATGTGTAGCCATTAGTCATAGGCAAAGCAACACGTGTGTGTTAAAATGAAGTTTGGGCTTCAAACTAGGCATCTTCAGACATGACACTGAATTCAGACACACGCACAAGGAAAGGTTTGTCACTGCGTGAAGGCCAGGCTCCAGAGAGGCTCCAGCTGCGTCTCTGAGGAAGCCTAACTCTAAATAGTTAGGCATGTTTTTTAATCTTATCAGCAGGGAACACTCTCATGGGTAAAGAGTGTGCATAATTGTATCTTGACTATCAGAAAGAATAACCCAAATCTGTGCAAGGCTAGGGTGTATTGCACTGTGAAAGGAAGAGCCCATGGACTCACAACCTGGTCAGTCTTGCGTTGAGATATTGTGCTCTGCTGGCAGTTGGTGTGGTTGTCATTTTGTTCAGCTAATAGGATTGTTGGGCAAAAAGCTAGCTGAGGCAGAAAATCATCCCAAAGGCAGTTTTAGTCTCTGTGGTGGTGTTTCCAAGAGAATAAGGGAAAGAAGGTAGAGCTGTTGTGAAATGATTCTATTTATATTTGAAGCACCAACACCTTTTGCTGAGTCAAACCCTTTCTTAGTGTGGGAAGCCTTTCCTTATTTTGCTCTGGGCATCAGGTGTTCACTCTGAATCTGATTCTTATATAGAAAAATTGAAAATTGCAAGGGTAAACTTTGCAGCAAAAAAATCACTGAAAACATCACAGTTGCTACTGAGCATTCAGTAAAGAGAAAAATGAAGAACTGGGAAAAAAACATAGAAAACTTTAGTAAGAATGATTTTAGAGGACCTTGGGGAAAGCTGTGAAATAGTTGGATAAATTTGTTTCACCACAACACAAAACATTTTAAAAGAAAAATTAAACAATTTTTAAATGAATGCTTTGAAGTTCATAGAAATTGTTCTTCACCTTTAACTTGTGAAAGTAAACTAGAGGTGCATGACTTTTGTCCCACCCGTATTTGCATGGATAATCAAACCAGAGCTCACCTTTGCAGTTTCCTCTGTAAGCAATTTCTAACCGAGGATCTTTGCACTTGGCACGCTGGAATTCGCAGCGGGACAAAAAGGTCCTTCCATCTGATGCACAGAGAGGTTTCTGAGGAGAGCCCGCACAGTCCAAGCTGCAATCTCTGTCTTTGTCTTGATCAACTCTCAAAAACTTGGGGGACAAAAAAAGATGAAGTCAGACAAATTTAAAAAACTGCAGAGCAGCAGGAAATGTAAGGTACAAAGAATAGTGGTATTTAGTGCTCACCACTGGGAAAAAGACCATGTGAGTCTCTTTTAAAAATGCTAAGCCATTGTCTCTTGTAAAAACCCTCAACAATTCCTTAAATCCACATTTGATGTCTGATACCAAACGGCACCTTCAGCTCTTCTTCTCTGTAAAGAGCCACGCTTGGCTCCTATTTGACCCCGTAGTCTGGTTTTCTTTGATTTTTAAATCCATTTGCTGATCCTCTTCAACACTGGACATGTGGTTTCTTTCTTCTGGAAGCTCCAGATATCAGGAACATATCAGGAACATATCAGGAACACTGTTGGGATTGGAAGGGTAGCCTTCCCTTTTATACGGCAACACACAATTTCACCTGCAGTCTCAGAACCCACAAGTGTGCTTGTGTGGACCAAATGATTGCTCTTAAACAAATGCTTGCTGAGTCAGTGAGTGCGTCCAGGCCCAGCAGCAGGTGCTACATTTCTAGGACATAAGTTTCAGACTCACACTTCTCCCCTTCTCCTACAGTGTCAAACAATAGGATGCTGAGGACAGGGCTTGGAGGCCATGCCCCTGCCCAGGTCCTCAAAATCAGTCTCAGCCCTGGGAGCCTCCCTGCAGGAACCTGTGTAGGTGCCCTTGGTGCCCTTTGGTAGGGCTGGGCTTTCATGGAAAGTCAGGCTTCTCTGTGTCTTTGAGACGCAGATTCAGAGTTCACTGTGACTCCCAGCAAAGTCTCAGATCAGACCCAGTCCTCAACTATCTTCTTTGGGCAATGACCCAGCATCCTCTGTACCCTCCTCACCTCTCTTGTGGACCTGCACACCCCAGACCTTATCCTGCCTGTTCCTGCATCACACCAGACAATGCAACAAACATGACAGTGACTCCCAGATAACACAGGGAACACAAGACTGAGTGCAGGCCCATGGGACATCACCCACCCCTGAAAGGTCTCTTCTGAGATTCAGAGCAGGAGCAATGTATTAAAGAAAACAATGAAGGAAAGAAGACAGTGCAGAGCCATGGGTATTTTCCAGTAAGCCATGGGCCTCTGGCATATCTCATGTGTTTGAGCAGGATTTTCTGGCAATGTGTGTATTTCTAATGAAGACAGAGAACTCTGATAAAATCAATTATCACCTCTTCTAGTCTGAGCTACAGAAAAAGTAGAATAGGGGCCTAGCCAATTCTTTGGGCACCATCACCTTGTTCCTCCATCTGTAAAAGATGATAGACAATTTCTCAAACTCAGGATGTTGCCACCCTTGAAAGATTACCAAAAGATTACCACCCCTAGGGGGTCTGAAGGTCCAGGATTACCAGATCTGACACTAGAATCAAAGACACTGAAGGGACAGAAGGGCCCCTGGGGACACACCCCTTACTAGGAGCCCAGCGAGGTCCTCAGAGCTCCCACCCAGGGAAGGGCAGACAGTGTGCTGGGTTTGGTGACCCCGCCCTTCAGGGGATCAGGCCACTGCTCCTTCGGCCACTTCCCAGAATTCTGAGGAGTGAGGGGGCTGAGCCAAGAGAAGATGACAGGCCCTTGTGTGGAAGAATGCCCACAGCAAAGAGATTGCAAATCAGCATGTTTTCATTTTTCCTGAGATTCATTTACCTGTTAAAACGATCATGTCCCTTTCAGTCAGAATCCAGAGAAAATAGATTGTTGTCTGTTCAGGGGTTTGCAAACACTGGGGGGGGGGGTTGTTTGTTTGTTTGTTTGATTTTTTTGGTGGTGTTTTTGTTTTGAGGTTGGTTTTGGTGAGGTTTTGTGGTGCTGGGGACTGAACCCACAGACTTTGCCCTGACTACATCCACAGACCTTTTTTTTCTTTTCTTTTCTTTTTTCTTTACAGGACTTGAACTTTTGAGTCTTGTGTCTCAGCGTCCTAGAGTGCTGGTATTGCAACTGTGCACCACCATGCCTGACTTGGTAGGGCGGTGTTTGTTTTCATGGGCAGAGCAAGCTTATATAAATACATTCACCTGCATCCTGACACTGAAGAGTCTCAATGCCATTTCTTACATGGCCTGCTGGGAGGCAGGAGTAGTGCAGGGAGGCAGAGGCCCTTCTGCCTGGCACCTCAGAAAGCTCATCCCCATCTCACAAAACTGTCAAGTCTGTGTTACTCCTAACTGCACAGCACTGGAGAATTTCGGTAAACCTCCCCCTACCAACCCCACAGCAGGGCCAGTGCAGCACCACCATACAGAGAGAGGGAGCAAGAAGCAGGGGCAGCACCATCCATATCCTGACATTGGCCAGCATGGGAACCTGCCCTGGGTGGCTCTTCTGCTAGAGATGAAGACCGGGTCACTCGGCCTGATGAGTGCATGTTTAATGCTGGGCTACCTGTTTTTCCTGAGAGCCTGTGGAGGAGGCAGATAAGAGAATGTCATCATTGCTGCCTCAAAGGAGGAGAGACTATATCTGTATTGTCACTAACAGACACGAGCATTCATACATCTGGAATTTGACAAGGATCTGGTGTGGAACTAAGAAAGGAAGATTTCACTCTCAGAAATAGGAGAACACATGATTCATGCACTGTGTCTCTCCCTCCCCACTTTTAATAGAAATTGAATTTCAAGGGAGGCAGGGCATGGAGGAAGATAGGCTTTTAAAACTAAGTAATAGCCTTTAAAAACAGAGCCTACCAAGGAAAATAAAGCATTCTTATTCTATAGATTAAAATTTATTAAGAGAACTTTATTGTAGGCCTTCAAACTGGTTCAAGATAGGAAGCACTTTGCCAGCAGGGCTTGATGGTGCACACCTGTAATCCCAGCTGAGTCTTGAGAATCAAAAGTTCAGACACAGTCTTGACAACTTAATTATTTAGTGAGACTGTTTCAAAAATTTAAAGAATAAAAATAAAAAGATTGAGAGATGTAGCTTGGTGCAAAGGCCCTGGGTACAATCCCTAGTGCTGCAAAAGGAAAAAAGAAAGCATTTTTCCAAATGTAGAATGAAGTCAATTGGACCTTGAGCAACTTTTATGTTAAGAAAAAAAAAAAAACTTTGCATGACAAGGGTCTCTAGTTCTTCTCACTGGCCCTGCCCATTACTGTTTGCACAGGTGCGAGGGGAGCAGGTGTGGGGATCACAGAGGGCACAGGAGGAGGCTCTGTGGGTATCAGCAGCCGTGTGCTGGAAGAAGGTGGGTCCAACACAATGGATCAAAAACAGCCTACACTTTTCATAATGAATACCTGGGTTTAAGCCAAAAGAAAGAGTTTAAAACAAACTCAAACCAGTAGAGAAACAGGTTTAAACAGTGATTGGAGACTTTCCTGATCACACAGTACAAGAAAATGGGGAAAAGTCGGGTCAGTCTCACCATTGAGACACACATCCCTAGCTGCAAGGACCACAAAAGCAGACACCTGCCAGAGAAGAGGCCCCAGGAGGGAGGAAGCTTGTGAGAAAGGACACTGAGGACTGAGTGTGGAGGGAAGGCAGCTCACTGGGCAGCTCTGAGAATGTGGGTAATGAGTAACCGGGTAGAGTCTATGACTTTCTAAGAGAACATGCCTCTCCTCTCCCTTGGAAAACCCAGATTTTCCAGGGTGTCAGGAAAACCTGTGACCCAAATATGAGAACTGCTTTTTGGAGCTGAGATTCCAACCTTAAACACTGCAGCACAACACAGCCTCAGGAAGTTTCCCCAGAGACTACCAAGTCCTCCTCCACTTGTTCCCCTCTCCTCCAGTGGCAGAGTTTCAACCATTCTGCGTGTGTTAAAAACACCTTAGCCTTTGCTTTTGCCTTTGCCTCCTCTGTCCCATGTGTTCATTAAGAATAAGTCTCATCTTTCCAAGTGAGGACCAGCTTGCAATGCACTCCTCTACTGCTCACCAAGTGGCCACTATCTGCAAAAGGTGCACTCTGGACTCCAGGGAGAGGCCCTATGCTCGCCCAGCCTGGAGTCCCCAGGGCAGTGAACAGCAATGCACTGGTCAGGGCCACATCCTGGGTGAGTGCTGGGAAGGACTGGACCCAGGGTCCAGGAGGGGAAAAAAAAACAGAGAAGGCTGAATGAGGAGGGGAAGAGCAAGAATCCCAGCAGGAAAATTAATTCAGCTAAGGCTTGGAAATTCAACAGCAGCAAGAGACAGAAGAAAGACCCATGTTCAAGAGGCCTGATATATGGCACGCTGGTGGGTGGCCTGCAGATTTGTAAGCCAGGGGTCTCTGAGGACCTGGGGAGCTCCTGTGTGCAAACATAAAATGGGAACAGAAAAGGGCAGCAATGGTGTCTCCTTCCTCCAATGGGAAAATACCAGATCACATACTCCCACTGCTACAACAACCAGATGATGCCAGTGGACGCTCTCTATACAGAACCAGCCCACAGTCAGCATGGTTTCCGGATCCAGTCACAGTGGGCATCTCGAATATCCCCAAAGGCCATGTGTCTGAGGCTTGGTTCCCAGAGTGGCACTACTGGAAGGTGGTGAGACCTTTGGCAGGTGGGCCTGGGGGGAAGAATTAAGATTAGTGGAATCTTTTTCTTAGCAGGGACATTGGGACTCCAGCTCTGCCACCACTCCTTGTCACTTCTTGGCTGCCAGGAGTTGAGCAGCCCCCTCCTCCACATACTCCCCCAAAGTCCCAGGGACAAGCAATAATGGTCTGAAACCTCAGAAACTGAGTCAACACAACATCTCCTTACTGTAAGTTGATTTTCTCAGGTATTCTGTCATAGCAAAGGAAAGCTGATTAACAAAATTCCTTTTTAACAAACTTAGACAAAGAGCAATGTTTGTGTATGCTGACCCCAGGTCAGCTAAGGATTCTGGTGACCTCTGATCTTAGGCAGGTCATTAGCAAGCCAGCAGTCACAAGCTTGCTGAGCTCCGAAGGAATGGACTGAGAGTCAGTGTAGGTTCTGCTGCTTTCACTTCCACAGTCTCCAAGATTGTCGCTCATC